CCCTACCGGGCCGGGGGCGGCCGAGCCTCCCGGCCAGGCGCAGCGGGAGGGGCCCACAAACCTGGTGGGGGATGGATGGAGGGTGAGGAGGAAGGAGGGGGCGCGCGGCCAGAGGAAAAGAAGGGAAGGGGGAGGGAGGCAGCGAGGAGGTGGGGCGGAGCCGGCCCCTCCTCCGGGGCGGGCTCTCCTCCGAGCTGGGGAGCGGCAGATGCCGCCAGAAGCGGCTGCGCCGGGACCCCACGTTTTCCACTGAAGGTGGCTTGAATGGGGGAGGGGTCCGCGGCGCCGCCCTGGGGGTGCAAGCACGGCTCCGCCGGCGCTCTTCCTAAGCCCTGGCCCTCGCAGCTCTCAGCGCCGCCCAGCGCACTCCCCTGCCCCGGGCATCTACAGTGGTGGCCTCTGCTGCCCACCTCTGATCCGAACCTCCCCGCCCTAATCCCACCTCTCTGCCTCGGGCCTCCCAACTCGGGGCAAATCCTGGGGGGGGCGGGAGAGGGAAGGCGCGTGGCACTACTCCTGGGGTATGTGCCAGGGTCCCTAAGCGGTCTCATGGGGTGCACGCCTGGGTTGTGCACTTGGTGTCTTACGGTCATGACCGTGGTCTCCGCAGGGGCTGCTTGGGTCAGTTCTCTCTGGGCATCCCTAGGGAACCAGGGGACCTGGGAGTGGCTGCGGCCAGTCTCAGAATCTTGCCCTTGAGGATGCCATCTAGGAACACATGTTCCCCGACTTAGAGGAGGTGGAAAGGGACAGGGGCCTCCAGCCCAGGTTCCTTCCCACCTGGCCCTTGGCTTAAGACCTATCCAGCTGTCCAAGGAGGAACAATCCAGCTGTCCTAGGCTTGGAGGAAGTCCACAGGGCTGGGTGGGGGCTGAGAAATCAGACAGGGCGTTGAGGCTACCAGCCCCGGGCTGAGCTGGGCTTTGCATGAGGAAAAGGAGAGATGGCATTTCAGGCTAGGAGTAGCGCATGGGCAAAGGCACAGCCATGGCTAGGGCAGGGTCGGGCACCAAGGCCAGGAGAGGCATTCCAGTTGCAGCAGAGCAGAAATCCAGCATAGCCCCAGGGGTCTCTAATAAATGAGGCTGATTGGGACTTTCTTTGGTTCCATCCTACTGCTGCTAAGGCAGAGGCATTGGGCATTTAGTATCAGAAAAGGTAAGTTGTAGACTTGTCAGGTGGCTTTTGGGAAAAGGCAAATTTAATAAGAACTGAGGCTGAATAGTGGCCAGAAAGGCCAAAGTCCCCCCTCCCCATCTCCTCTTCTTCCTCTAGCTCCTGAATTTCTTTCCTTCTCCAGAAATTCTTAGATTGAACAAATAAAAAATCACTTTTCCTAAGATCTAAATGATAACAGCTCCTATTAATCAAGTGCTAAGGATCATGCTAATTATTTTTATGCATATAATGGTCCTAATAAACCTATCAAGTAGGTATTATTATTATTATCCCCACTTTACAGATGGGGAAGTTAAAGTTCAGAGCTCAAAAAACAGCAGTCAGAACTTGAACTCAAGTTACCCAATTCCAAAGTCTATGCTTAAATACAGTGCCTTCCTGCCACCCCTTTACTATATTAAGCCCACTGAGCCTTCCTTTGCCAAAATGCAGATTCCCTAAATCCACCTGCTTTTGCAGATAGCCAAAAATATCCTTATATTGTCTTGGTTTAACCTTTGTTCTAATGATGTTTGTCTGTCTTCACTCTGTGCTTCCTGTGAATATGCAAAAACAATTTGGGGCCTGCTTGTGTATGTATATATGTGCTTTTGTGCATGTGTGCATACATGCATGTGCATGCAGGTATATATCTGTGCATATGCACAATGTGTGCATGTGTGTTTGCAAGTGCTTCCATGTCTGAAGCCATGCATGTGTATACATGTGGATGTACATTGTGCATGTATGAGTGTGTGTATGTACAAGTGAATGCACATGTGTATGTATGTGAGTGTACATGTATTTGTGTATGTGCGTGTGTGTGTGCATGTGCGCATGTATGCCCATGCTACATTTCAGACAACAGTTCCTGTTTGGTTGTTATGGGAACCACAGTTCTAAAAATGTTAAACTGAATCCCACTCCATGTGGTCCAGAGAAACCAAAAGAGAGAGAGAACTGAATGACAAACACATCTGGGGGTCCAAAGCTAAGGCAGAGACATGGGCTCAGCAAGAATCGAACATGAAAAACTAGTTAGAAGTGTGTGTGGTCCCACTCATGGGGCCCAAAGGCTTGGATCAGGGCCTCAGTCCTGCTTCTCCCCATCTCTCCCTCCTGGTCCTTTTTTGCTTCATGTTCTCTAACCCCCTTCTTTCCCTCCTCCTTCCCCCCTTCTCTTTTCCTTTCTCCTTTTAGGCATGTAGGCCTTTTTCTTTTTGCCAATGAGCCCACATAATAATTAAGCATTTAAGTGTGCTGGACAGTAGGCTCGGTGATATGGCAGCCACAGTGTGAATCAGACAAGGTCTCTGCCCTTGAAGGAGCTGAAGGGTAGGAGGATTTGGATAATACATGAGGGGAGGGAAGAGGGCAGAGTAATGGGAGAGGTGACAGGAGAATGGAAGATGAATTGGGGTCAGATATGGAGGGCTTTAAATGCAGTGCATTTCTGTTGTTGTTAATCCTCACCTGAGGATATTTTTTCCATTGATTTTTCAGAAAGAGTAGAAGGGAGAAAAGGAATGGGGAAGGAGGAGAGAGAAACATTGATGTGAGAGAGACACAGCAACTGGTTGCCTCCCCAATGCACCCCAACGCTCTAACCACTGAGCATGCTGTCCAGGAATGCAGTGTACTTTTTTATAGGAAGGTGGAAGCTATGGTCAGTTTGGGATAAAACACCATCAATAATGTTTTAAGGAAATGACAACAGTAGTGATGTGCAATGTGGAATAGAGGGAGAGAGAATGGAGGCAGAGGGACCACAGGAAGCACTTTGATATAGTGCAGGCTTGTCTTAAACAGGGCACAGGGGGTTGGGGTAAAGGGAGAGGAAATAGAAGGCATTTTTGATTGCTTTGTCAAACTTTCCTCCATATCCCACCTTATAAAGATTCTCATTACTGTTCCCCGTCTCTTCAGCAAAAGAATCATGACTTGAGTGAGCCTTTGTTACTGATGTGTGTGTGTGAAATTCCTCCGATGCACTGGAAAGGAAAAAAATTGGGAACCACTGGCCCAGCAAATGCCAGGCACTCAATACTACTTGTGGAATGACTGGATATATGGATATGCACTGGTCTTGGAACTGGAAGGCCTAGCTAGATTCAAGGTGCACTTCAGTTTCTTATCATCTGTATGCCCTGAAGAAAATTCCCAAACCTGTTGGGCCTCAGTTTCCTCCTCTATACAATGAGGAGTCAGAGAGGATGTTTTTTTAAAGAGAGAGGAAGGGAGAGGGATGGAGAGAGAGAAACATCCATGAGAGAGACATTGATCAGCTACCTCCTATACACCCCCTACTGGGGATGGAGCCCACCACCCAGGCACGTGCCCTCACCAGGAACTGAACCAATGACTTCTTGGTTCATGGGCCGACGCTCAACCACTGAACCACACCGGCCAGGCTGACAGGATGTTTTTATAAGCTCCTTCCAACTACATGTTATTCTGAGATTCTGTGTGATTGTCACAGCCAAGGTGTTCATGTAGAATGGACAAGGGGGTTCTGGCAATAGGCACAGACAGGATAAATGTGGTATATATGCATATTTTAATATGTCTTTATTGTTTTCAGAGAGAGGAAGGGAGGGGGAGAGAGAGAGATAGGAAGATTGATGATGAGGGAGTCATTGATCAGCTGCCTCCTGCACACCCACTACTGGGGATCAAGCCCGCAACCCAGACATGTGCCCCAACCAGAAATTGAACCCCGATCTCCTGGATCATAGGTCAATGCTCAGCCACTGGTAGGCCATGCCAACCAGACTAATAGAGAAATCAACGTCTTCTTGCTTCAGTTTTCAGCAATACTCTTGAACAGATAATCCCAAAGCTCTCCTGCTACACAATGCGTGAACTGGTTCACAAAATATAACAGACACCTCAAATGCTTAGTTGAGCTTGTAAGAAAGGAAAGAAAATGTACGTGGATCAAAACAAAGGAAATGAGACCAAGGAATGTAAGCATGAGATGTGCTGTGACTAACCCCAGGAGGTATGGGGAGGGAGGAACATTGATTGTCTTCCCTGACCTGGGTGGTCCTGCTTAGAGTAGGAGGGGTTGCCTCTGAGAATTTATAACTGAGTGAGTTAAGAGTTTGAACTCAACACCTGCATGGTACAGGAACCTCAGGCCAAGAAATTAACATAAATATTGGTCTCCATCAGTTGATACTCCTGGAATGTCTGGCACAAGCCAATATAAAATTGCTCAGGGGAAATATACCCTCAACCCAGGCCACAGAATATTACTGCCCAGGTAACTCCCCACAAGATAAAAATTACAATAGGTAAAAGGAAACAATGTATGTTGAGATGTGCATTAGTCAGAACCAAGGGGCTGCAACTGGGGTAGGGACCAGGGTTGCCTGACTTAGAAGTCATCTATGTAGCAGTGATAGATGGAGACTTGGGAATTAATGTGCTCTCCAAAGAGAGTGTTGAAATAGGGAAGGAGAGAGCTCAGAACCAAATCTGGGAAACACCCACATTTTGAGGACTAAATGAAAAAGAGAAGCAAGTAAAGAAAATGAGTCTCTGGGTCCTGGTTGTGGGATGATTGATTTTAATTATTTCCATCTCCTGCTTAACATTCTTTTCCTTCAGAATCCCTAGGAGACAGTCCAGAAAATGTAGCTGTTTCCCTTGGGAGTAGCAGGAGGAACTTCTCAGCTGAGATTTCTAGAACCAGGCTGGGCTCTGGTACTAGCACTACTACTAAGTCAACTTTCTCATCAGTGATATTTGGCCTACGTATGTGTGAAAACAAGATGTGGCAGGACAGAGCAGATAGTACTTGAGGGAATGCTGCTGAAGAAGGTGAGGACAGGGTGGTTAGATCCCACCCACCCACAGCCTGTCTGCCCTTCTTTGTTCAGGTTGTGTGTTTTGGGATCAGTTGCTTAAAATCTGGGCCTTTGTGCTCTTCTTTACCTACTCTGCATGGAAAGTGAAGACAGGTAGTCGGTGGCTGTGATAGGTGTGGTCAATTAAACAGTAAGTAATGAGAGTCATTGTTATCTTATGTCTCCGTGAACCTACCATGTAACCTATTACAATACCTGATGTTCCACCATTTGAGCCTCTCTCCAGGGTTAAACATTGCCCTCTGCAGGCCACTCTTAAAATGTTAGTTCCTAAAACAAGTGGTATCAAATCTTTTATCTCAAATTGGTTTATTAGATACAAGATACTCAACCACGTGAAAGCACTTAACACCTGGGGAGAGAAATGGGTGGAATTCCCTGACTAGATAATTTTGTCTCTGATCAACTGAACTTCGGGGGTGAAGGATGGGCAGGTCTGAGAGTAAAGGGATGAAGAAGCCAGAGGATCAGAAGCTGGGTTGATCTGGCACCACAGGACTGTAAGGCTCTCTTAACTCAAGAATAGCACATCTTGGCACTGGCCAGGTAGCTCAGTTGGTTGGAGCATCGTCCCCATATGCCAAGGTTTCGGGTTCAGTGCCAAGTCAGGGCACATACTGGAATCAACCAATGAATGCATAAATAGGTGGCACAACAAATCAATGTTTCTCTCTCTCCCTCACTATTGCTAAAAATCAAATTTTTAAAAAATAACAGTGTCTTTTAAAATATAGCGCACCTCAGAAGAGAAAAGAATGAAGCCCCCAGGTAGGCCCTATCCTTTTTTTAGCAGACAGGAGTTGCTAAGAAGGAGAGATGGGATGCATGATGGGCTTTTAATGCCCCAAGGTCTGCCCAAGGTGGCCAGAACGAATGTATAAACTTTTGGGTTGGGAGCCTAGGGAGTGAAACTCTAACTTCCCCATCATAAGATCATGCTTTCCTCACCACCCCCTTAGCTGCCCCCTCTCCACGAAGCCATGACGGGGTTCACCTGGAGGAAAGTTAGAGAAAAGGGGCTATGGCAAGTGCAGAACTGGACGATAAGGGGGCTGCTGCCGCCTGGAGAACTTTTGTGGAAAGAGCAACTAAGGCGGCTGTGAGCCTCTGGCAAACACCCTCTCTTCTCTAGGCTTAGCTCTGCCCATCAATAGTCTAGGTGAATGCTGAGTCCCTTTTGGCACTGACAGCATGTGATCCTCATACAGAGGCACAGGCACTTGCTGGCGCCTCTGTGACACCTAAACACTGGGTGTTCGCCAACAGCACTGAAGTACTGTAGACTTCTGCCGCTGTCACTACTGCCCTCTAGTTGTGGAACTTATTTCACCTCTTAGTAGGAAGCCTTTCCAAACAGTGCTATTAAGCTGAGGTGCCACCATTCTGGGGCTGGGAAAAAAGCACTGGCTTTGGAGCCAGACAGAGCTGAGTTTGACCTGTCTGTTCCTAGCTGGGTTACCCAGAAAGTTAACTACTTTGCTTCCTGAATCTTTGAAATGGAGTATTTGACTGCTGCACTCAGGATTGTGAGGATTAAGGAGGATAATATATGCACAACTTCCAGAAACACCTTGAGCCCTTAGGCAAGCTGTGATTAAATTCATTTGTTAATTTAGTACTTATTTATTGAATGCCTACTATGTGCCACAGTGCCTGACAGCAGGTGGGTAATGACTCCATGGATGTAAGGAACTCCTTTCTTATTCTGGGGGTTGGGGGGTTGGGAAAGGGGTTGGGAGGAAGGTTCAGAAGCTTGGATGGCAGATAATGTAAGCTTTTAGCACAATAATTTTAATTGCAAAAATAAACAGTTTTGCGAACTGCTTGAGAGTAGCGTCTGCTTTACAAAAATTAACAACAAACAGGAAATAGCCCCAAAGCAAAACGTTACATCCAATGACTGCTGGAAACGACATTGCTGTACAAAATACCGCTCGAGACCGGCTCGGCGCTGCCCCAGCCTATCTCTGGGGGGTACGGGGGACTAAGGGACTGCGTGGGGCGAGCTCCAGTACAAAACACTCTTGAGTTCCAAGGAAATGCCTACTCGGTGGGAGGCCTGAGAGGGCTTCCCCCCCCCAGCGCGGCAGACGCGGAGACAGAGCCTGGACGGCGGGAGCTGTCCACGGGGCCGGTGCTGAACGGGCGTGTGCAGCGGGCGCTTCAAGGGAAATCGGAAGCCGGACCAGAGGCCGCCCCCGGGCGTGCCCGGAAGACCAGCCGCGAGAGGGGCTGGCCTGGTCTTCTCCGGCGCGCGGGCCGGCGGCGGCGCCCCAATCTACAAACTTATTTCTCCCTCACAGGGCAGCGTAGGAGAGGCCCAATGAGTAAAAGCCAAGGCCCTTGAGCCGCTCTTCTGCGCGCGCCTTCTGTTTGAGGTGCACCTTGCTGTGCCGTTTCTTCTCATCACTGCGCGCGAAGCGGCGGCCGCACACGTCGCAGGCAAAGGGCTTCTCGCCAGTGTGGGTGCGCACGTGTGTGGTAAGGTGGTCGCTGCGGCTGAAGTTGCGGAGGCAGATGCGGCACTGGAAGGGCTTGTGGCCGGTGTGGATGCGCAGGTGGCGGTTGAGCTCGTCGGAACGCGCAAAGCTGCGCACACAGCTCTCCACCGGGCAGGCAAAGGCCTTGGCGTGCGGCCGCGGGCAGAAGCAGCGTGCGCTGCACTTGCCTCCCCGGCGCCCCTTGCGCCGCGCCTTAACCGGGGGTAATGGGGCCGGCGGCCCGAGAGGCTCAGGCGCGCCACTGCTCCCAGGGATGTCCGCCACCAGAGGTTTTGGGAAGTCCGTCGCGGCGCTGCGGAGGCCCAGCGGGGAAAGCTGAGGCTGTGTACCAGCCAGAAACTCTCTGCCGTCGCCGCTACTCCCTCCCTCCCCACTTGGAGGGGTCAGGAGCCCGGGGAGTCCCTCGGCGCCCTCCCCTAAGTTACCCAAGGCCAGCGGGAAAGCGTCATAGGCCCCCGTGGGGTAGGGTCTGTTGGCCGAGTCGGCCGGCAGCTCTGCGGGGCAGCTGATGGACAGCAGATCTTCAATCTTGGTCCCCATCGGGGGGAAACGGGCTTCAGAGGGCGCCTGGTAGCTTCCCTGTGACCCACAGCTCCCTGGGGCACCGGCTGAAAGTAGCTCCCAGGGAGCGTAGGGACCCTTGAAAGCCGAGGCAGCGTCCAGCGCTGGAGAGGCCGGAGGAGCCCGTCGGCCTGGCTTGACGTCGGGTGGGGAGAGCTGAGGCTCAAACAGGCACTGCGAGGGGGCGCCAGCCGCGGGCGAGGCCTCCCAGAAAGCCTCTGGGAAGGCGGCAGCGCCCAGATCCGGGGAGTAAAGGTCAGGCGGACCCGGCAGCAAGGCGTCGGGGCCTGAGGGAAAAGAGGCGTCCAGCGGAGACCGGGATGCTCCCACATCAGGGCCGGGGAAAGGTGCCAGGCCTAGGATGCCCGACATGAGGTTGAAGAGTGACTCTGGGTCGTGCGGGTGTTCGGGCACTGCCTGGATGAAGAAGCTACCACTGTAGCTTAGGCTGGGAGGGGGTGTGGGCGCAGGCCCCTCCAGGAAGCAGGAGTCGGCTAAGTCCCCCCCGGCGCCGCAGCTGCTCAAAGCCCAGCTCAAGAAGTCGCCTGCTGAGGAAGGAGCAGGAATCAACTCCCGGCACATAAAAAGGCGCGCCTTGAGTCTGCAACCCCTACTCAAGGATCGTTTGGTGCGCACTGATACATATAAAGTGCCTTTTTGCACATTCTGACCCAGTTGGAGCAGGCATACGCCCCAAGACGCACACAAAAACATGCACACGCAAAATACACGTGCACAGGCAAAAAGGACACCTTGATACATGCACAATTTCCTGCGGAGGCGCTGGCAGCCCGGTGGGGGTGGCAATGGCGGTGCGCGCCCCAAACCCCCGAGCTCCCTACGACCACTCCCCCACACCTGCGTCCACGTCCCATCCTGTTTCGGGCACCGTGCGCCCCCGCACTGCGCCGCCGTCTGAGCACCCCCGGCCGCGCTCCTTACCTCCGGGGTAGCCAGCGGCCGCGTCCCTGGCGGCCAGCCGGGGCAGTTCGGTGCTGGGTTCC